TTGTACACAACCACGCCAGCGGTAGCTGATCGCGATGTGATCAATCTGAGTCCAGGTTTGGGATGCAGAGGGAGGACGCCAGGTGGCACACCGGAGATGACTGTGCCGGAAGTTAGTGCTAGCCAGAAACAGGTTGTGGTCTGTGCACAGTTGCAGCAAACGGTCCCCGTTATCTGTCCTGCGACCAACAAGTCCCCATCGGCCACCTAAACGACTCTCTTCTGTGCCTAGACGCCCGACCTGTGCATTCAAGTCTCCGGCTAGTACTTTAATATCTGTCGAACGCGCTTTATGGAGAAGAACTGTTAACTGATGGTAAAACTCATCCTTGATTGCATCCGGGCTGCAATCTGTCGGGGCATAGGCGGAGATGACGAAAAGACACCGTTTCTCACGCCGATTTCTTCTCACTTTGATGGAACTTTCTAATCTAACACACATAACCGAATGTTAATGGGGATCCAATCAATTAGTGCTGACTCAGCTCTAGCGCTTAGTGCGACACCAACGCCAGCAAGACCAGACGAAGATGCCACAGAGTCCCCGGATAAGCGCAAGTGAAACAAGCTCTTCGAGGCGACAGATGGAGAGCGGATTTGTAGTACTTCACTAGAGTCTTGAATACGGGTCTCAGATAGACAACAAACATCAACATTAGGACCTTCCAAAGACATAGCCAGCCCTATCTGTTGTCTGATATGGATTAGTGTGCGAACGTTGAAGGAAGCCAGCTTGAACGGCGTACGTGGTTTCAGAAAGACTGCTTCAGTATTCATAATCGGTGGAAGCATTCACTTGCAACCAGACAGTGACTGGAGATCGTTTAGATATGACAGAGTTTCCACTATGGGCGAGCTGCTGCATAAGTTGAAAAGTAAGGTTACACAAATTGGGGATAAAAGGGGGTGAATTAGCGATATGGTAAGTAATAATAATAAAAATGATAATAAAGTTAATAATAATAATAATGTAAATTGTCTTGCTTCTAATGTGAGCAGGAATAGTATCGTCAATTGAGTTTATCATTTCATTCATTTGTGTGTGGGCTGTGATACTGCCCGGCTGCCCAAACCGAAGAAGGTGGTTTTCTTAGGGGACCACACCCCGAGCATTTGACCTAAAGGTCTGATCCCCAAGGCAGTGGAGCATCGTGAGGCGATGCAGTCCCATGGTAGCCGGTGACCAATGACAGGTTCTTCTGCCATTCGTTCCATCAGGATACTGGAGCCCATGTGACCATTGGTTTGGAATCAGGGTTTTCCAACTCCCCTAGATGGACCTTCCGTGTCCACCAACCCGGTTAAAGCGCCGGACATTCGTTTTTCGTCTTCTCAGTTTGGTAAACAACACCCCCGCCACGAGAAGGCAGTGAGTAGGACTTCCCTGGCAGAGGCTTTATATTCGCTGGCCATGTGACAGCATTTCGAGAGGGAGAGTAGACTCTCCCCACTCTCGGCCGTACCAGGGCATTTGCTGGCACATCATATACTACTTATATGGATATAAGTAGACCACACCACAATATCACTTATAATTCTGAGTTTTGCATAGATTTTATCCTTCACATTTACACACTGACTGGATTTAGTCAGAAAACTATTGACGATTCGTGAAAAAGTGGACAACTCATTTGTCCAATTGTGGTACTCATCAGCAAAATACTGTAGGATGTTGATTGATTAGTATGAAAGTAGGTTGACGGCTAAGATGCATGGACTCCTCGTGTTTGTGCTGTAGTGGTTTTGAGGATGTGCAATGTTGAATAGTACTATACAATGATGAAACAATTTTTCACTGACTCCCAAATATCACTTTTTGTTTAACTAATTCAGTTCGTGATGTAAATTACTACATAAGAATTGCGTAACACTTGATCATTTCAAATAAATTGAGCACTGAGTATATTGTTTGTAATAACAAATAGAATAATATTAATAATAATTAACGTTTGGTTTCCATTCACATGAATTTTTATTGAATTTTACAGTTAAACCGATTGAGTTGACAATGAACAATGACCATCAGGATGGTCAAGTCTTTTCCTGAGCACTTCTCTATGATTGGTTGTAGCCACTCATAAAACTGATCTTTATCATGTTCTTTGCTATCATTGGTGGGTGCATAACATTGAATAACATTCATTGTGATTCCCTCCATCTTTATTTTGAATGTTGCTTTGATGATTCTGGATACATGAGATTCCTATCACATAAGTAGAAAAGAAGAACTACTACAACTGTTTAACAACAAACACCCAGCAATTAAATTTACATGTGAAGAGGTACTAGATAATAAACAAAATTTCCTTGACGTTTTGTTAAACAAAAAAGCAAACGGTTCTATCAGTAGAAGTGTGTTTAGGAAAAGTTCTTCATCAAACCAGTACACACACTTCTTAAGCTTTGTACCCCTCCACTATAAAAGAAACTCAGTAAAATGTCTGGCAAGTAGAGCTAGGAAGATATGCTCGGTTGATTCAATTAGCAAGGAGATAGAGGTCATACATAATATGTTGATTGGAAGGGGTTATCCACAAGATTTCCTGAGGAAACACTTGCGTGTAACAAATAAAAAAAAACAGATATCAACAGCTACTAAGAAACCTCTCTTCCTGAAACTGCAATTCAATGGCGATTTGGCTGGTGATGTACTACGTGATTGACTGACTAAAGCAGTGAAGAGAACGTTTAATGCAGCTGACCTCTGTCTATCGTACTCGACGCGATCTATGGTGATTCTTCAACTAAAGGATAAGTTAACTGGTTATGCCACTTCTATGTGTATCTATGAATTCAGCTGCTCCTGTGGAGAAAGCTATATTGGGCCCACTACCAGACAACTGAACCAAAGAGTTAGTGAACACCTCCCTTCGTGGTTAGGAAAAGGTATTGCCAAGTCAATACGAAGCTCGGTTCTTTCACACTTGGCCAATGGCGGTCATATAGTTGACAGAAATCGGTCATTTAAAGTTATTTATCGTATTCCTACTAGTTTTCCCTATGAGATTCGATCTCGTCTCTTACACATAGCAGAAGCTATAGGAATTCGATCCAACAATCCAAGCCTTTATGTTCATAAGAAATTTGTAACATCCTTATCTTATTAATTAATTTTATTTTTCCATACTCTTTCTTCGTTTAATTTTCTTCACCCCCCTACCAATTATTTATTCATTTTTTAAAATATTCGCTTCATGGTCCAATTATCTGAACACTTCTTCTTACGTAATCTTGTAATTTTTATGAATATTGAATTCACTTAGTATTGTTTGTTTGGATCTTCCCATCGATGTGTTTAGGACTGCAACTGGTCAGTCTCTAATTGGCATATGTGCATACTGTGCGTATTGCCTCGATATACCTTAATTCACAAGCATGGTAAGCAGAGATGGATAGTGGCTAGCAGTGGAATCCAGGACGCGCGTTTCGTCCTATTTGGGACTCGTCATCTGGATGTACCTGCATCTCAGAGTTGATGTTCACTCTGGGACTCGAACCCAGTACCCTCGCTTCAAACGTCATCGCGTTATCCATGAATATTATTTATGAATATTATTTCAGTATCTATATTTTTTCTAATCATTGAACTACTTTCCATTATGTAACGCTGTCTTTATTATTCTTAAGAAAGGAACGAATCGAGTGAAGAAATTTCTTTTCAATTAGTTTTTCATCATGGCTCTACACTAATATATATATATATATATATATATATATATATATATATATATATATGATTTACAATAATTAAATAACACTCATGGAGTAGATACGTTACGTAATGATTATATAATGACATCGATTATAAACTAACATTAATTGGAAGAGAAGGATTAATACTAATCAAAGTTATTATTTGAAAATCAAGCTGTTGCTACGTTGCATAATATATAAAAATGAGAAGAAAGAACTAACAAAATATTTTGATGAATGGTCAGTAATATAGTAATTATGTAAGAATCAAGAGACGAATGAAGAGAATAAGTAAAATACAAAATACAAAAAATGGAAGGAATAAGATAGTTGTTTATCGAAATTATGCTACAAACTCCGCTATACCGATGGCCAAGGTAGCGAGAGTGGTTGTACAAACTTCTTTTGGATACAAAGGTACGGTTTGTGGATATGAATTGCGATGGCTTCAGCTATGTGCAATAGACGAGCTCGTAAACCATGTGGCAAATTTGATGGAATATGGTAGATAACCTTAAAAGCTTTATTCAGTTCAACCTGATGACCTGTGTCCACCAAGTGAGCGAGAATAGAACTCTTAATCCCCTTTACCTGTCCTTTAGTCAGCCATGACGGATGGTGTTCTGTTATTCGTTGACGAACTTGCCGAATTGTACGCCCTATATAACTGGCTCCACAGGAGCAGTTGAATTGGTAAATACACACAGATGTGGCGAATTCAGGCAATCTGTCTTTATTAACAGTTCTTATTGTGGGGCGGTTGTAGAAGACGGTACTAAGTCGGGCTGCATTAAATGTCTTCTGTACTGCCCTTCTTAACCTATGTGTCAAGATTTCTTCAGTTATTATTCTTATCACAACTAGTACATCTGTCATCACACTATCAATTTGTACTTTTTACTTATTATTATTTTTAGTTACGTAATCTATTCCACTGTTATCATTGACTCATAAACTGCTTTGATTGGTTTAATAATTTCGTACATGCTTATAAATATTACTGTATATTAGAGTGAAGCCTGATGAGGATCTAATCGAAAACAATATTGTCCGCCTATTTTCCGAATCACAATATGGGAATTTTTCAAAAAATAATTATTTTGAAAAGGATTTATAAAATTGTTGTTAGATGGATCAGATGTATTAGTAGGATTAGTTTCATTAAAAATAAATAAACAAATCCTTCATCTATGATACTTAAAATAGGTGTTGTACATGAAGGAATGTAGACAGTGTTGGTTTAAACATATTCTTACACAGTAGTCTACAGATTAGTAGATAAATAAAGGAAATCTATATATGTCTCTCTCATCTTCGATTATTAAAAGTAATTAAAACTTGAGAGCTATTCGAATGAGAAGTATGTTCCTCTTTTCCAACATTACGTCCACTTACGGATTTACTATGCTTATTTCCTCCTGAAGATTTTCTACCAGAATCACTATCAAAACTGAGTTTTATTTTGACATGTTTAGCATTTTCACTGTTTGATCCTAATCCCATACTTCTACGTCTATATGATACATTACCATTGATATCGACATTGTCAAAGGAAAATCTTTTCAAGTAACTCTTTCGTTTTCCACCTCTCTTCAATTTCGAATATTGGAATGTGCGCCTTCCATACTTGTCATATGAACCCTTCACCTTGAATCTGGATGAACGAGTTGACAGACTGTCATATTCCCCTCGTCCATGTCGATTGAAATAACCTTTAGCATTTGCTTCTCCCTCCTCTTTAAATGCATATTTTCGGTTCGATCCTCTTGATAACCATGATAAGTCGAATTCACCACCAAATGACCTCCCATGTATTTCATCATTCTTTTCTTCCTTGTGTGCTGTCCTACTAGAGTTCATTAATGCAGAACTGGAACCACGACGATTGCTAGTACTTGATTTCTTAAGTACTTCTTGGTTTAGTATGGTAGGTAGGAATATGAAGGATAATAATGTGATTATCTTCATATTTTTATTTTCTCATATAATTATCCCGTTGCAATAAATCGGTCATTAAATTTTAATTCCTTCCAATTATATACTTGTTAACTGGAATTGCAATTTTCTGTAATGTTCGCAATTCGCTTTCATGAAATTGCACTCGAGTGATCGATTGTTTGTTACGTTTCAACTTAATGGTAAGGGTGAATTGATGTTAGATAAACGACGCAATGCTTTGTGATAAATCTCGCCTTAAATAGAGACTAGGAATGAGATTGAGAAAATGTATACTATTTACCACCCTCTAAATACTTTTTGATGTTTATATTCATTGAGATTTTAGTAAGTACACAGACCTACTTACTGATCAAACTAGTTTTCATTTACGCTAATGATTGATAAGCACGTTCATAGGAAGTGTTGAATAACTGCATTTTCGGTTAAAGATTTTCAATCTTCTTTAAATGTTAGAATAAAGAAATTCATTTTCCTTTTGAGAATTTCCATTCGTGTATTTACATTTATGTTCTTCACACATGAAATGTTGTACTTGTCGACGTATGTGTTGTTCTTTTGTGTTCTGTTTTACCAGGATTATATGTTTCTTAATATATTTGTATTGTAAATTTTCATTTTGTTTTATCGTCGCACACAATTTTCTATTTATGCTGAACATAAAGTATTTTTTGTTTTACCACATTCTTCTGATTTTGTGTTTTATGTTAGTTGATTAACAATAGTTTCGTACATGGAAATGTTTGCTGAAGGAACAGCATGTGTATCACCGTTCCTTTTTATCAGATTCACAGTTTTCATGTAGATGAGCATAGAAATATTTCGAATTTGTTTCGATAAAACAAATTGAGTGTTCTGTATAAATTTTCAATGGTTCTAAAGCTAACCTTGCTTACATCAGTGTTTTTTGTTGTCCGGTCAAATTGTCTGTATTTTTATTAAATGTGTAATGTTTAGTTTTTATTCTGTTGATAATCTGGATTGTCTATTTTTTAATACTATGAGAAGTTTCGCTTTGAATTTTTGAACAGACTTGTTTATTCCACTTTTTCATTTAATTTTGCCAGTGATGTTTCGTAATTTATTATTTCCTTTTCTACCTTGTGTGATTTAGTTAGTCGTCTGAGTCCGTTTTTTCTTTTCAGATTCTTAGTGTGTAATTGATTTGTCTTGTATGTCATTTTCTTATTGAATAAGCTAATGTTTATGTATGATAGGTTTTGGATGGTATTGTACATAGGATTATCTAGTAGTCGGTTGTTTATGGTAAAATATGGAGAGGAGATATGATATGCATGCAAATAAGAGGCATGGCTATTTAAATAAAGACAGAACAAATATTGATGCAGAATAGTATGAATTCATTATATTTCGTGGTTTCTCATCAGCTGCCTACAACCAAATATGTATTAGAGTTTTAGCATTAGGGTAACAAATAGTATGGAACAATGGGCATAATTGAATGTAAAGGATTGAAATAACGGAAGGTCATCAGTGATAAGGTAAGCAGCTGATGAGAAACCACGAAATATAATGAATTCATACAATTCTGCATAAATATTTGTTCTGTATTTATTTAAATTCATAATGGGAACTAACTGCATGAAATTTTTGCATGGCTATTTATTGATCTACCCTTCAAAGATTATTTATCCAACGTTTGAGTATATCTGGCATACGTCTAGTAGTGGAACCTAGGTTGCTCGTTCTGTTTAATTAGAGACTCTTTGGCTGACTGTTCATAATGGGACTTGAACTCAGTACTTATCTATTCGAACGCTCAACTCGTTATTTACAGAGCTACTGAATACAGATAGCCACTAGGTTGTTAGAAGGGGCATTGAGGTGTTAATACGGAATTGGTTTGCAATTTTCTGTTTTTGTTATTCTGAATTGGAACTCATCAGTTTGTGTGCATCGTGAGAGGATAGGAACTTCCCGAATATGCTAAATAAAGATGTATGACTGTAATATTCTCGGAATGCATTTATGGGAAAAAAACATCTAACGATTTACAGTTCTCAGTGTTAGAGATGTGTAATTATAACCCTATACTAATGATTTTACAAGACTTTCACTAAAATAGCTAGAAATACAATAGTCTCCTTTAACTAATGAAGAAATATACTCATTTTATGAACAACACGAATATCATTTATTATTAATTACAAAATATTTTGACTATAGTTGGGATTGTTTACCGGATAATGGAATTGATGCATTACTTGAGTTTCCATAATTCGTAGTAAAGTTTTTCTCTACTGACCTGTATCCACCTTGGAAAACTGGTGATTTAGAATATCTTGGCTTTTCATTGATGTTAGGATTAGAATCTCTATTATTCATATGATTCTTTTTTATGTAACGATCTTTTTTTTCAGATTTTGTTATCTTTCTTTTATTTCGTGTTGTTTTGATATTTCCAACTACATCAAAAATGTTAAGAAACATATTTTCACGATAACCATTGGATCGTCCACGTGTTTGAAATCGTGAATAATCATTTCGTCGACCATATCTATCTGTTCCAGAATGTAATGTGAAATATGTACTTTCTGAATAACTGCCACCTTTTGCACTATTTCCACGAGATTGAATTTGATCATTCCTGTATGTATAATCATGATGTCTAGATCGAATAGATTTTTTATTTCTTTCAAAATTTTCATCATCATTATCATTATTATTCCTTGTTTCTTTGTTATATGAATTTTGTTTTGATTCACTATGGACATTCTTAGATTGATAGTTCCTTTGATTATTATTATTGTAAATATGATGATATGAATATTGATTCTGATTTTGATTATTATTATCATAATAATTAGATTTGATAACTATTATAAATAGTGATAATATAATGAGTATAAGTAGTATATGTATGTATTTCATAATTTAATTCTAAGTAGATAATTTTAAGTTAATCATAAATAATTTTAACTAAAATTCAATGTGCTTTAATATTTATATTTGATACATAGGTATTGTGCCTTTTAGTACTCTATTATATATATATATATATATATATATATATATATATATATATATATTCAACTAAGTGAATAATTTAATGTTCCTTTAATCAATAATATTGTTCGAATACATTTTTCTAATTGAATTAAAGTTCACTAAATAGTGCACATATAAGTTTTTACTAACCACAGAGAAATACATTTTATTATTATTATTATTATTATTATTATTATTATTATTTTTGATATTTATAAGCTAAAGCCACTATTAAATATTTTCAAGTTTTTAATAGAATAGATATAATGTGACTAACAATAAATTCCAGGATGTTTCTTCTTTACATTTATGCCTTTATCCTATAGTTGATGTATACTCTGTCATTGAAATACCGTACATTTTTATTTAAACGCATAACTTCTAATCCACTTAGTGATTGTTTTCAAATAGCAAAATCATTCATGAAACAGGTGTACATTTCAATTCAACTTTTAGTGGTTTTTGAATTGTCCCGTTGACATTATTTTTGAATAGATTTTGGTCAGACTTTTTTAACATTGAGTTGAAACTTATACCCGTTTCACATTCAAGTGGCCATGAAAAGTCAGTAGCTAAATTGATAATACAGTTGAATAAAAGGTTCTGGGTTTGAGTATAATCATGAAATATCAGCACTCGGATGGAAGTACATCCATCTGACAACAAAAGGCGTCTCACGTTTCATCTGTAGTTATAAATCTGTCTATTATATAAAAACTTGTGATATAGAGCAGATCTGCACATAATCAATATATGTCAAATATGACTACTAGAATTTCTATCAGAAATATAAACAAGGAGCGAATCGAGCGAAGAAATTTCTTTTCAATTAGTTTTTCATCATGGCTCTACACTAATATATATATATGATTTACAATAATTAAATAACACTCATGGAGTAGATACGTTACGTAATGATTATATAATGACATCGATTATAAACTAACATTAATTGGAAGAGAAGGATTAATACTAATCAAAGTTATTATTCGAAAATCAAGCTGTTGCTACGTTGCATAATATATAAAAAAGAGAAGTAAGAACTAATAAAATATTTTGATGAATGGTCAGTAACATAGTAATTATGTAAGAATCAAGAGACGAATGAAGAGAATAAGTAAAATACAAAATACAAAAAATGGAAGGAATAAGATAGTTGTTTATCGAAATTATGCTACAAACTCCGCTATACCGATGGCCAAGGTAGCGAGAGTGGTTGCACAAACTTCTTTTGGATACATAGGTTCGGTTTGTGGATATGAATTGCGATGGCTTCAGCTATGTGCAATAGACGAGCTCGTAAACCATGTGGCAAATTTGATGGAATATGGTAGATAACCTTAAAAGCTTTATTCAGTTCAACCTGATGACCTGTGTCCACCAAGTGAGCGAGAATAGAACTCTTAATCCCCTTTATCTGTCCTTTAGTCAACCATGACGGATGGTGTTCTGTTATTCGTTGACGAACTTGCCGAATTGTACGCCCTATATAACTGGCTCCACAGGAGCAGTTGAATTGGTAAATACACATAGATGTGGCGAATTCAGGCAATCTGTCTTTATTAACAGTTCTTATTGTGGGGCGGTTGTAGAAGACAAAAATACATAAAATACAAAAATACAAAAATACATACGTGCCAAAAATGCATAAAAGTGGCTTGCCCCTTCGACCCGTTTTAGATATGAATAACTCAGCCTACCACACTATAGCAAAATGGTTGGTGCAAATTCTCAAACCGCTCCACAAAGAAATTGTTAAACATAGTGTCAAGGATTCCTTTGAATTTGTCAATAATGTAAAAAATCTATCGCTCAAGAATAAATTTATGATATCATTAGATGTAACGTCCCTATTCACCAACATTCCTCTACTTGAAACGGTAGATTTTATTTGCAATGAATTAACAGAGAGGAACTTAGAAACGGTAATTCCCGTATCCGTAATAAAACAGCTAATTCTTAGATGCACAATGAATGTTCAATTCCGATTCGACAATGACTATTATAGAAAATTAGATGGGGTAGCCATTGGGCCCTATACTGGCAGACATTTTTCTGGCAAAACTAGAAAATGGTCCACTCAAAGACACAATTAGCCATCTAACATCATATTGTCGCTATATAGATGATACCTTCATAGTATTAGAGAAAGAACATGAAAAGGAGAACATCCTTAATATATTTAATAATATCCACCCATCAATTACGTTTACACTAGAAGAAGAACAGAATGGTAGTATATCGTTTTTAGATGTCCAACTAACCAGAAGAATAGACGGAACATTAAAAAGAGGATTACATAGAAAATCTACAGTTGGACAGTACACTAATTTCTATAGCGCAGTACCAATGAAATACAAAAGAAACCTAATAAAGATCCTTACTCATCGTGCTAGAAGGATTTGCTCTGACGACATTATTTTAGATGAATTGGCTAATATTCGAAACTTGCTTAGTAAGAATGGGTATCCAATGAAATTCATCGACAAACACATGACGGAGACGAAAAGAAGGACAAAGTTACCTACTGTTCCGAAGAAGGTACTGTTCCTAAAGTTACAATTCTTAAATGATGCTACTGAAGAAATCTTGACACAGAGGTTAAGAAGGGCAGTACAGAAAACATTTAATGCAGCCCGACTTAGTACCGTCTTCTACAACCGCCCCACAATAAGAACTGTTAATAAAGACAGATTGCCTGAATTCGCCACATCTATGTGTATTTACCAATTCAACTGCTCCTGTGGAGCCAGTTATATAGGGCGTACAATTCGGCAAGTTCGTCAACGAATAACAGAACACCATCCGTCATGGTTGACTAAAGGACAGATAAAGGGGATTAAGAGTTCTATTCTCGCTCACTTGGTGGACACAGGTCATCAGGTTGAACTGAATAAAGCTTTTAAGGTTATCTACCATATTCCATCAAATTTGCCACATGGTTTACGAGCTCGTCTATTGCACATAGCTGAAGCCATCGCAATTCATATCCACAAACCGAACCTATGTATCCAAAAGAAGTTTGTGCAACCACTCTCGCTACCTTGGCCATCGGTATAGCGGAGTTTGTAGCATAATTTCGATAAACAACTATCTTATTCCTTCCATTTTTTGTATTTTGTATTTTACTTATTCTCTTCATTCGTCTCTTGATTCTTACATAATTACTATGTTACTGACCATTCATCAAAATATTTTATTAGTTCTTACTTCTCTTTTTTATATATTATGCAACGTAGCAACAGCTTGATTTTCGAATAATAACTTTGATTAGTATTAATCCTTCTCTTCCAATTAATGTTAGTTTATAATCGATGTCATTATATAATCATTACGTAACGTATCTACTCCATGAGTGTTATTTAATTATTGTAAATCATATATATATATTAGTGTAGAGCCATGATGAAAAACTAATTGAAAAGAAATTTCTTCGCTCGATTCGTTCCTTTTTTAATTAACAAATGTCAAAATGGGAATTTTCACTTTAGAAATATAAACAAGGAGATAATCCGAAAACCATTACAAACTGAATTAAAATTTGAACCCCAGTTGAAAAAAATACTATATATTATATAGTTGAGATCATGAGTCAATTGTAGCTAGACCACCATCGAAAAGCTAGAAGAACTGGACGGCCGTTTCGTCCTATTATGGTACTTCTCAGCAGTGCGCATCCACAATCCCGCCTCGTGAGATTCGAACCAAGGACCTATCAGTCTCGCGCGAGCGCTTAACCTCTAGAACCACTAAACCGGCGTCAAATGGTGTTAATGTCTAACTTCAACCGACCCACGAGATTGAGAAACCGTCTACCATTGTCTTCAGTGAGTTGTTATCTCCCAACAAACCTGTTTTATTTATTTATTTATTATTAGCTTTATTCAATATTATATTTTTGGTACAATATAGAATTCTCAGCACAAAGTACTTCAACAGGTTTCTTTTTCTTACTTCTTCGTCCTTCCTGACGATAAATATTGAGTGATCGCCAGTTAGAAGTTAGCAACCCAGTCAATCGACATCTAAATAATGTACATTCTTCTCGCTGCACATTTCCAGCAACCACGATATCTCTGATTGGGCCTTCTGTAACCTGAATAGGTTGTGCGATTAATAGGCATAATGATGTATTAAAACAAACGAAATTAGATAACTTGTTGAAATATCTAGATGACAGGAACAGGTAGCCCAGATGTTTAAACAGGCCACTGGTCATTGCTTCTCACTAGAACTCTAGTAAGTATCTCATCGAGCCAGTCACTAGTTAGCATATGATCATTATCAGAAGGGGTCTATCGGTTAAGTGTTCTGGCGCGAGACTGGTAGGTCCTGGGTTCGGATTTCACGAGGCGGGATTGTGGATGTGCACTGCTGAGAAGTCCCATAATAGGACGAAATGGCCGTCCAGTGCTTCCAGCTTTCCGATGGTGGTTTAGCTTCAATTGATCAGTGATCTCAACTATATAAAATTACTAAAATCTCCACAGAACCCCTTTCTGATAATACAATATATTATTTAAATGTTTGTTAGGGAAGTAAGGCGAAAATAATAAATGAATGCTTTAAATGAAGTGGATGTATCTTTATTAAACTCAAACAATTAATACAATAGCTTATATATATATATATATTATAGAAACGGAAAACAATCATGCTTACCGAACATAGTTAAGTGATTCATGAGTGAAAATGAATTTTTGACTACTCCTTCTTGATGAAGTAGTGGTTTACATGATGTATTATATGTTTTGAAGGGATTTCAATGTTTTATCTACTTGACAACTACATTTTTATAGATAATTTCATTATTGTGGAAATTAAAGTCTTTGCACTCCTCGGAAGTATAAGAAAAATTATTTGATCGAACACATCAACTAATTACTGTAATGAACAAGCATTTATTTTCATGGGGGAACTCGGTTCTGAAATAAATTTTCTTTTCCCAACACAGTGAATCATTTTTTGATAGAGATTGACTGTGACAAATGCAA